CTCCGCACTTCGGTCCCCCAGCCCCGCTCTGCCCCGGCCACGGGGTGATCCCCATGGGTCACCCTCTGCTCCCTTTGCCAGGAGCTATGGGAGCAGCCAAGGGAGAGTTTTAGTCTCCCGTCGCAGAGGGAAGAGCAGCCCTGTGCCACTGCATCCTCCATCCCGGGCCCAGGGACCAGTGCAGGGATCGATCACCTGAGCATTTCAGGGGATGCTTGAAAGCCACCTCACCACAAGGCTGTCCCCACCAGCACTGGGCACCAGCGTGACACTGCTGTCATTTCCTCCCAGGCTGTCCCCATCGCACCTGCTCACAGAGCGGTGTGGCAGGGACTGTCCTCCCTGCTACCTGGCACAGGGTGGAGGGTGGAGAGGTGCCCTGGCTGGTGCAGCAGTTTTGTAGCCATCCTGCCCAAGGGTCTGGCAGAGCCCTAGGTGCTGGGTAGCCCTTCATCAAGTGGTGGGAATCTTGTCAGGGCTGTGCATGTGGGTGCTTTGCACTGTGCTGTGCCCACTGTCTGTGGGTCTGGCAGTATACCTGGGGTGGCACATCCCTACCTCAGGGTCTGAGCAAAAGGCAGCCATGGGAATCTCTGTGGGGTTCAGGACCAAAAGTACAATGGAACATGGAAACCCGAGGACAGGGCTGGGAAGGGCCCCTAGGGTCCAGAAGTCCATCTCAAGGGGTGGCACTCAGCACAGCCACACAGCCTCACTGAGCGTGGTGGTGAAATGGGTGCAGGCAGCTCTGCTTGCCCTGTGGCTTTTAGGGCAGCTGTGCATTCCCACTTCTCCGGGCTCAGGCTGGCCTGGATGTCCTTAATTGCCCAAAGGTCAGTGTCCCCGAGCTCGGGGCCACGTGTCGGAGGGACCCCGGGCAGGAACCTGACATGGACACGAGTCATTCGAGATCAACGCTGGAGGCCAGGAAATTGCAACAGACACGAACCTAAATATGCTGCACGTCCCTCCAGGTAATCAGGGGCTGGGCCAGATTCCAGCTGACAGCTTAAATGCCTTAATTCCTCGGCCGCTGTGGTTCGAGGGGGTCCCGTGTGCTGTGGGCTTCTCCCAAACGGTCTCTGAGCTGGAGATTTGTCTGTAATTGGAGGCGTGTTGCATTCCCCTGAAAGTAGCCAGGTCCCGCTGGAGGAGGGCTGCGGGAAGGCAGCAATTTCCCTTATGGAATTATTTACCTGATTAGAGAGTTTATTTTATCAAAATTGCTTCAGAATGGGGCTGCTCGGCGTGTCCAGTGCGGGGAGCTCCCTGGTGGGGCTGGCGGCCTGGAGACAGGTAATTTGTGTGGTTAATGGGACTAATCCACCAGGCAATTACACCAATAGATTTCACGGCTGCAAAGTGCTCTATTCCCATTAATTAAAAATCTGTTAAGAAGATTAGCATGTAAAGTATCAAAAGAAACCCACGAGTTTCTTTCCCCACTGACCCCCAAAGGCGAGTGTGGGAGTGCTGGATTGCTCGCATTAGCACAAAAATGATTCTTTTTAAAGGTAAGGGCTTCACAGCCAAAGTAACCGCTGACAGTTTTCCCCAACTTCCCTACCAAGAGGTCCTTTATCTTTAATTATAGTTTGTTCAGATTAGCCCTGATTGTTCACGTGGAGCGTTAGCTAAAATATATTTGGAATGTGTGGTTTTCCTGTGCGCGGTGGTGTGGTGTGAGCAGGGCAGCCCCCAGCCCAGACCTGTGCCACAGCAGGTGCCACCACTGCTGGGCTGGTGCCCGTGAGGGGACAAGGGTTTGGGGGTGTGTGTACAAACTGAGCATCCCACTGTTGAGGTGGTCACACCAGAGCAGGAGTGTGGATGGCAGTACCACCACTGGTACCACCGTTGGCAAGGGCTTGGCCACCAAACCCGGCTCTACAGCAGGCACTGGGCTGTGTGGGCACCTCCCTGGTGTGGTAGAGGGCCAAGACCTCACCAGGAGCTCCATACCATCACCACCTGCACCCTGCAGACACCATCCCCACACCACAACTCCCACCCAGCTCAGCTCAGCTCGGTCCCTCGCTCGTGGCCAGTGCCACTCCTGCTCTTTGTCCACAGCCAGACAGGAGCAAAACAAAAGCACATTCCCCAGCAGCTGAAGGTGCCATTTTTACGGTTGGGCTGAACGAGGAAGTATTTTTTGATCTCTTAAAAATCCTGAATATTATCTGACAGTTTATCTTGTTTCTCGCATCCGTGTCTTTGCAGCAACGCCAGCTCATTTACATGTGTATTGCGCCTGCCTCCACGGGTGCTGAGGTCAATTGAAACTCAAGAAAAGAGGAGAAATTTATGCAAAACTGTTGATTGCATTTGTATGTAATGAAATCATCCAATATTCATCTGACTATAGACTCTAATCTGAAAGGAGAAGTGAAGGACATAAGAGTCACTGGAAAGCAATAATGAGCTTCTGTAGTGATTAAAAAAGCACTTGAGCTTTCTGAAAATCCAGCCAGAAATCGTGTCTAATCAACACGGAATATAGGAGGCAGAGATTACATTGATACATTTTGCAAAGCTCACTGTTGAAAATGTATGCGCGCTGTAAACTCTGACATGCCATCCAGGGGCTGTTGGATACAAATCCGGGCGGCACAATCAGCGCCCGGCTCGTCCCTGGCACAAAGCAATCTTGGTGTCTCTGCTCGATGACTCACAAGGAGCGCAATCACATCTATTTTGAAGAGCAATGTTGTTTTTTAACTATGTCGAGAGCTTCCAGCTTCCTTGGAGTTTTTCCTTCCCTTCGCCTCTGTTTTGTGTCCCCACAGCCACGGGGCTCAGTCCAGGAGCTGTCAGGAGGCTGCTGCCTGCCCTGGGCCCTGTCCAGCAGCTTGGAGCAGACTGGAGCATCCTAGTGGAGCTAAGTGTGGCTGTCAGGCAGTCTGGGAAGGGTGTGAGTCTCTCCTGAGCAGGGTCATACACAAGAATGTATCCCATGTGCTGGGATTGTGACCTCTCAGGGACCCTCAACCCTCCAGGTCACAGCAACACTCACCAGGTGGGAACATGCTGATGCCCTGGGTCGACAGGTGCTGTTGGTGACAGAGCTCCTGGTGAGGGCAGGGGGTGCAGACAACCCAGGGCACAGCACAAGGGGTCTGGCCATGGTTCTCCCTCACCCCCTGCCCTGCACCACCCATGGCACTTGCTGCTGAGGCCAAACCACTTGGTGGCTGATGTGGTGTCACTGACAGAGCCACATTATACCAGCCCAACCACTTTCTGGCCCATGTCCCTTCCCCTCCTGGGTTATTTGGCACAGCTGGAACTCCTTTTCCACCCGCCAATAGCATCAGCTGCAGCTTCTTATCAGCTCTGGGTGCAATCCAGGCTGGAACCAAGTCAGAGGCTCCTGCTGGTGCTGGTGGAGGAGTGTTTGGAGCAGACAGACCTGCTGCAGCTCCCAGTGTGGAGCAGCAAGTGATTTATGCCACAAAGAGAAAGCAGGACCTGTCCAGAGCCACCCTGTGTGCCAGCTGGTGGTGAGTGCCTGTCCTCTCTTCTCCTGCGTGGTGCTGCTGTGGTCCTGTGTGGCTGGAAGGTGCTGGGGCTGTGGCTGGTGCTTTTTTTCTGTTCATTCTGCAGTGTAAGGTGTCCTGGAGAGCAGGAAGGGCTGCACAGGCACAGGTCCCTGGGCTCATGTCCTGCCTGCCTTGCTTTGGTGGTACCAGGGCTGAGAGTATGATCTGTGGGTGCTGTGGCAGCTCCTGTCTGATGCAGGGCACAGGGGTGAGGTGAGGATAAATGGGAATCCAGGCAGCTCCATCCCCAGCCCAGTGCCAGGGCAGTTTTACCACAGGTTTTATTTCCTGTGAGGTGCAGCGAGATGCTACAGGATGAGGAACAGCAGTAAGTATTTGGGAAATTTCTTTGTGCAATGACTCCCTGCAGCTCCACTGCCACCCTCCACCAGCCCATTGTCACCACCTGAAGGGTTTGGAGAATGGGAAGAGACCAGAGAAGCCCCCACAGGCAGCAGCAGCATTTCTCCACCTGCCCTGGCTTTGTGGAGCTCCCAGTGCAGCAGCTGCTGCTCTCAGGCAGGTAGCAGGGAAACCCTTCAGGCCCAGGTTCCTGCAGGGATGCTGAGGCTGCAACAATGGCAAAAAAAGCCCAGTTGATAAATGTCAAGAGAAATCCAGCAATCGGCTGAAAGCAATTTCCCGAGCCATGGAACCGCCCTGGGCTCACCATCTTCCTTTCTCCATTTATCATGGTGAGGGCTTTGGCCAAAATACACAAAGCAGAGAAATTGTTGACATGTGGGGCCCTAGCAGAGCAAATCCTTCATCCTCCTCCCCCTCCCCACGGCACACAAACTAACTTTTTGGGAGTTGTTTATTTAAGGAGTGCAGAGCACTTGGTGCTCTTTGAACCCAAATGCCTTGGGAGCAGGGCTGGGGGCTGCCACCACCTTCCCTCCTCCTACACGGCCGAGGCTGCAGCCAGGCCGTTTGCTGCCATTGGCAAGTATCTGCTGGTAGTGAGGAGCTGAGCTGTGGGATGTGCTCAGGACCCTCAACTGGTGCTGAGCTCCCTCATCCCTTCCTGATGGCCATGGTGCCAGCAGCTGCTGGCCATGGCACAAGGCAAATGCTTCCTTTGGGATGTGTGAACCCAAAGGAATACATCAACCAGGAACTAGCTGTCCCAAGGCTGCTCTTCCACATCTCATTTTTACTTTATTTCAAGCAAAAATAAATGCTGAGGCTTGCAGCAGGACAGTGCAGGTTCCCCTCATTGCTGGCAGTGCAGAACACAAATGGCACAAGTCCTTCCTCTGTGCCTCAGCTTCCATGTGGCAGCCCTGCCAGCAGCCTGCAGTCCTCCTTCCTGATATTTTATTTTTCATCTCAGTTCATCAAATTCTGTTCCCACCTGGATAAAGAACAGTGAGGAGTGTTCCCCCCTCCCTCCAGCACACCCCAGGGTGGGCAATGGGAACAGCCAAGGCACAGAGCCACCTCTGCACATCCTTGAGGCTGCTGCCTCTGGGCACAGACAGGTGCTGGGACATGTGGCAGTCCGTTCTGTTCGAGGGGGAGTGTGCCCATTGGGATGGTGTTTATCCAAGCAGCTCCTTGGTCTTCACTGCCAGCAGCTTGTCCATCTCTGCAGAAGCTTCATCTGCCATTTGCTGGATCTGTGGTGACACAGTACAAGTCAGAGTCACACGTGAGGTGATGCCAGAGTGTAAAGGGAAAGGACTGACTGGATCACCCTCCACAACAAAGCCCAAAGTCCCAGTAAAACCCAAACAGTGCTGGGGCAGTAACTGGTTCTTCCTGGGTCTTTCCACCAGCCCTCAGGAACACTGTGCCTGTGCTGCATCTGTACAGCGAGAGCAGGTGCTGCTTAAAGGCTCTGAAAAGAGAGACACACACACAAACTCCTGGCTGAGCTTCACAAGTGACTTGGTCAGGTACTTATGATATATGTAGGGGAGGGCAGAGACAAAGAACTGCTGGTGACCTCCTGCAGCCTTCCCAGGATTAGAACAAACAGGTGAGAGGAGGAGTGCAGCCTTAGTGCACACCAGGAATTCACACATCAATTAACTATTTATTTCTGGAAAAAAGAAGTAAAATGATGATTGCTCGATCCCTGCCCAGGGATCAGCTCCCCTGGTAACATGGGATGGACATGGCAAGTGTGTAAACAGGACCAAACCAGGCAGGCACTTATTTGAGTGAGAGCAGGTAAAGGCTGGAGCACACCAGGGGCTATGCATTGGTGATTAAGATGTGCTGATTCTCAAGGTCTGACAATGACCTTTCTTCATGCTGAAATATTTGGGTACAAGCAAAAATTTGACTCGAGACACCACCTCTACCCATGCAGCAAACCATCTGTCTGCTCTGGGAGAGCTGCTTCCCAACAGGATTCGGTTACAATGGCATGGCCATTTTTCCTGCTTGCACAAGCTCTCTGTATATCGATGTTTATTTTTGTGAGCACACAGGGAACTGTCCCAGAGCATTTGCAATGTATCTAACTTTAGCTGTTAATAAACAAACATCTAAGAAGTAATGGCCTGCCTTCAGAGGCGTCAATTCAGCAGAACACTTAGGCTTGTGCCTGAGTTTATGCCCAAGTAATTGACTTTTAGTGACATCTGCTCTTAGGGAATTAGGCATGTGCTTAAGTATTTTCCTGAATTGGAGCCAAAAACTCGGAACAGAGATAATCTTGCTAGCCTTTTCATTAATAACAACTGCAGCAATCCTCATTAACACCAGCTGTTTGCAGTGGCCAGGCACTGGGTGAGTGGTGGTACAGCCAGGGACGTGGCTCCCTAAATTCAGCTGGTTTGTGCAACAATCCCTTGTAGTACAAAAGCGTTTGGGGAATTTTTCTTTCCTGTGTCAGCTTACAATGGTTCATATCATAAATTTGGCTTTGAGATTGAAGCCCCAAATCTCACAAAGAAAGCAAATACAAAAGCCACTGCTGATTCCAAAAATTCAGCCCAGGGCCACCTATTCCCCTGCTGGGCTCTCAGTGCTGGAGATTTGTCAGCAAGGGCTGGGACAAACACTACTGAGCTGTGAGACACCATGACATGGCAGAAGAAAAGAAAAATTACCTGCTTTTCTAGCAGCCAGATGGTATCTTCTGACACTTTGCTCTTGAACTTCTTTACTTGGTTGATGCTTTTGCTTCGCACCTTTCTCAGGGCCTCTTTGGACTTGTTGGTGGACTGCTTGGCAAGCTTGGCTAGGCTCTCCCTGTGTTCTCTTGTGACCCTGGGAGCAAGGGAAGGAGGAAAACAGTGTCATGTGTAGCACAGCCAGACTTATTTTCTGGAATGGACTTGGGGTAAATGACTGATCCTCTCCAACTGGTGCTGCCCTGCCCAGGGACACCCAAAAGCTGCTGGTGTTAGACAGAGCTCACCCTGTGTAGTGGCACTGTGTCCCAGGGCAGAGGGACTGAACAGCTCAGGGCATGGTTTTATCTGTTTTGGTCCACCTGAGTGAACTGTCCACGCCTGGACAGCATTCCCAGGACAGCACACCCCAGGGAAGCAAGTCCTGAGCCTAGGATGGAAACTTTCCAGCCTGGCCCTAAGCTGGGGAACTTGGACTGAATCTTACTTGGTTTATAGTTGTTGCTGCAGTGCCTGAAAGTCATGCTGAAATGTTCAGACTTTCCTTTCTTCCTGCTGCCAAAGCATGTGTGGGAAAGAGGGAAAATCCAGCTTCAGACCTGAGAGATGGAGCTGAAAAGTTTAATCCTGCAAAGCTGGGAGGAAACCTCTGTTCCTGAAACTCTGATTCGTCTCCCTGCAACTGAAGATCCTGAACTGTGGACCTGGAAGCTACAGCGCTTATGTTTCACTCAACCTTATTCCAGCTCATTATGAACAGGATAACATGAACACCCAGTTGGACAAGAGGATACTGCTGGACATGGTCAGCCACAGGTAACTCGATCCAAGAAAACTTCAGCTTCACCTTTCCCTGATGCAGGGCCACTTACCACTGTGGTGCCACAAGGAAATCCTCAACTTCCCATCCCAAACTAGAAACTGCAGGTGATGATGGGACCTGGCCACCTGAAAAAGTTTCAGGAATGGCTAACATGTCCCCTCAGCTCTGGTAATGCTCCAGCACCTACAGCTGATCACTGTCAACTGCTAGTGCTTAACTTAAGTATTTTCATGTCTATTGGAGTTTCCAGACTGCCTGGAGAAGGAAAACCCCAGTGCACTGCCTGAGACCCACTAGCAGGGGAGCACTCACCCGCTCATTGGAGATATGGCAAAATAAACACTTCTCAGGAGTATTTAGAAACTGGCTGCAGCAGCCTAGGCCACCAAAACACTGAGGCCAGGACTCTTCCTGCAGAGCTGGAGACACGTGGGCCAAGGGCTCTGTCCCACTGTGGGTGTGTTACAGGGAGGCTCTGGGGCACGGTCGGACCCTCAGCCCAGCAGGTCACCCGTGCTCTGGTCCCTTCCCTGCAGTCAGGTCTCTCACAGCAGATGTCTGCAGAGGCACTGGCCTTCTGCCAGTTTACTTCACAGTGCCAGAGGAACAGGCTTCCCAGAACTGGTTAGCAATTACAGGAATTTGGGATCCCTAGGAAAGCTGACAGACCCAGAGAGCAGCACCCCAAGGCACCCTGCCTGGCCTGTCTCCTTCCTGCCAGGCACTGCTGGAGGGAGATGGCCACGGAACATCACAGAATATCCTGAGTTGGAAGAGACAACAAGGATCATCAAAATCCAACACCTGGCCCTGCTACAACCCCACCACATGCCCGAGAGCATTGTCCAAATGCTCCGTGAGCTCTGTCAGCCTTGGGGCTGTGACCACTGCTCTGGGGAGCTGTTCAGTGCCCAAACACCTCTGAGGGAAGAACCTCTGCTTAATATCCAACCTAAGTCATCACACGTGGCAGGAGGCTTCTGGTCAGCACAGCTTGAGTCTGGCCTGGATGCCTGATTAGGGCTAAGCAGGGATCCCTGTGCTTTCCCTGCACCCCAACACTGATGCCCCTGGGACATCTCGTGTTCGACCTCCCCGGCCAGAGACCCCGTGGCACACGCAGAGCCGCCGCAGCCAGCTCACAGGCAGAGGTCTGCCTGGGGTCAGATTCTCAGGCAGCTTTTCGGGGGGTGGGGAGTCAATCCTGGCTGCTCAGCCTGGAGGAGGGAGCTGGGAATCTCTCCTGCGGGGCGGCAGGGGCTGCCCAGCTGCGGGAGCCCGAGCTCGGCCGCAGCCAGTTGTGCCGAGGGTATCACTCGCCTGCCCGAGGCTGCTGCGCCTTGAAGGAAATGTTTTTGTTTATGCAGCGCTGCCAGATTTCCTCTGCTTCTTGGCACGGGGTCACAGCTTTCATGCCTCCTTGTCTGTCTTTATTAACACCAATTTCTTTTTATCACCGCGCAGTGCCGGGGAGTTTCTCAGCGGGTTTTATGTTCCAGCCAGACTGTGTGTAAATTCTCAGCAATGCTACCAACGATGCCAGAAACGGACACTTTTCCAAGCAGATGCTGTTTCTGGTTAAGGAATCCATCAACACGAGCCAGGCCCATGGTTTCTAAGGACAGCTGTTCAATTCTGCCCCCAGATCTGGGACTTCTGAGCTGTTCTTAGGTATGTTTTCTTTTCTGTCTAGTAACCACTGCCCCTACCCGCTCTTTAAAGCCAAAACAAGCGTGAAGTGAACTTGGGGAAGAGGAGCCACAGGGGGGAATGAGGACAATGTCCCTGTCCATCACCCCTGCTGCCCTCCCCTGCAGCTCTCGGAGCAGTGGGCTCAATCCCTGCTGCTCCCTGGGGGACCAGGACAGAGCTGGTGACTGACGTGTCAGGGGGTCACAAACACATCCCACCCCAAGGGTAACAGTTCTATTTCTCCTTCCCCAGCTCTGTGGTTAAGCACTGCAGTCCTCAGTGTCCCATCCCATGTGGCAGTGCAGACCTACAGAGAGCACAACACGGCTTGTCTCAACACAGGACTCCTATCCGGATAAGAGCAATTTCTGTATCACAAACACTAGGAATTTCCTGTGAAGGAGAAGGATCAGTTCAAGGAAAGCAGGCTTAGCTAAATACTCTGCATTCATAATTGCAGATAAACACAGGGTGCAACGTTTATTGCTCAATAAAACGCGAGAGACTCCCGACGATGAGTGACCGCAGCTCAGAACAGCTCTGGTGTGCTTTCAAGTGAAATTTTTTGGGTCCTTTCTCCCCATAGTAGGTATCTTTGCATATTTCTTAAAGGGCAAATGGGAAAAAAAAGCTCACAATGAGTCATTAAACTTTCAAATGAGTCATCTGGCTTTCAGTAAAGCATGTGTAAAAATATTACTGATTTACAAACAATATCCAGCGTAACACAATGGGTCCAAAAAAGATGAATCTAAAAATGAGGCAATACCATAAAAGACACAAGGTCAGGTCAAATTCGGCCAAGAGATCAACCAATACAAGCGTTCCCATGGCTGGTTCTCCGTTATTTTTTATTTTTAAACCCTCAGAGGCTGCTTTTTACACAAATAAATATTGCCTATGCAGTGCTAGCCACACAAACAGGCCAAAGCCTTGGGGAGCAGAGGGATCCTGGCAGGCAGCAGAAGTAAACACCAACCATACCAGTGATTTTTTTTTAGCTGTTAAAACTGCAATGCAAAACCTAAACTGATATAATAAATACTGAAAAGCAAACTCCATTTTTAAATGCTCAGTTGAAACACCCTGAAGCACAGATGGAGCTGTACAAGGCAAACTATGACACATGTGTGTCCAGCTGACAGGTCAGAGTAAAAAGTGGTTTTAATAACAGGTCAGGACAACTTGGGTTTGGTTGTACTGTGCCTCCCTTCATGAAAAAACCAATTCCTGCAGAAACAGTATGAATACTGTCTCTTCATTTTGGATTTGTTGCTCATTTTGCACACCAGACAATTTTGGCAATTTCACTGCATCTGTCTGTCCTATATTCTTTCATAAACTGTTGGAAATAAGGAAAAATTTGGAAAATTTTAAATAGTAAATGAAAGATAAAATATTGAAGAGAAGATTCTCGCAGAATTTGGTTATTTCTGCCTCCTCCTTCACATTAGAAAGTTTTAAAAGGCTGGAACTGCCTGCTTGTCTTCTTGCTAAGTGGATGAAACTCTGAACAAACCACTTGTGTAACCAGAGAGCAAAAGGGCCTCGAAGTGCCAGTGAGGGCAGACCCACAGGAACAGCTTCCAAGCCAAAAACCTAACTTGGAGCTCCCTGGGCTCCCGAGCAGTTGGGGGGAAGGGACCAGGAGCTGCAACCCTGAAACACCAGAGGAGCACAGGAGCTCACCAGGCAGAGCTTCCCTGGGAAGAGAAGACTTGTTGTCACTCTGCAGCCCCACAGAAGATAGTGACAGACTGTACACATTTGTTTAAAAACACAGTATTTTGTTCAAGCTTGGGATTTGCAGTTTTGGAGTTTCCTCCCCTGCAATTCATATTCAAGGATGACCCAAGTGCCCATTAACAATCAAACCACTGTACAGCAACCTGGGAGCCTCAGCAATTATGAAGATAATGGTGCCCTCCTCCTCCTCTGCCTCCTCTCCTGAGGAATGGGGGAAGGGCAGGGAGCACAGGGAAAGAAAATCAGCAAATAGAATGGTAATGTCATTCCCTCTCACCGACAGCAACGGAAAGCTGCAATTAGACTTCTCTGATCAAAATGCTGGGTAAAATTCCATAGAATTCTTACAGGAGGTCTAAAGCACAAGAAATACTTGGTTTATCTTTACTAAGAAGTCACCTGCTTGTGCAAGGCAGTGCATGTGCAAGGGGTTTGTGCACAGAGGCAGCATGTGGAGCTGTCCTCACCCTGTGTGGGAGCTGTTTTGTCTTTACCCCAGGATGTGAGCAGCCCAAAGGCATGCTAAGCAATCATGAGGATTGCTTCTCCTGATCAAAACTGGAGCATTGATGCAGCAGCACCTCTTGCCTTGTCCAAGGGCTGGGAGCCACCTGTGATAAGTGAGGGAAGTGAGCAGCCCTCAGCCAGGGACAGCCTGCTTTTCCATCAGCCCTACACCAGAATTTCCAACCAACCATCAGTTACACAATGTACATATTATACAGAAGTGGGGAGGATTTTTCAGTCAAAGCTATCCATTTCCTGCCTTTTTTCCACCACTTCATTTTAGTGCTCTCTGCAGCAAGGTGCTACTCACCCCTAATATTACTGGTCCACTCCTGCCTTACTGATGCTCTATGCTGGTGAAACTCCAGGACTTTAGAGCAGGGCAGCAAAGGCTCAGCCCCTGAATTACAGCAATACAGCTTCAAAAGCCTTTGGCTCTCTCCTGCGAAGTGCTGTAGCCAGCTAGGACCAAGTTTCCTCTGCAGGGTCGAAGTGCTGTAGCCAGCTAGGACCAAGCTTACTCTGCAGGGCGAAGATGAATAAGACCAACCATCAGATGCCAAGATGTGGTGACTTACGGCTCAGACACTTGGAAGAGGTTCCACCAGATGCTTTTAGGGGCTTAGATTTTTTTCCTGAACTACAGCTATTTGGAAAGCAGCTGGATTACAGCAATCAGGCATGCTCACCCTCTGAAGGGCACTCAGGGCAACCTACTGTGTTATCTTGCAAGATGATGAACTCGTGCATCAATACTCACTTCGGAACTGGCACCCGAATCACCGTCCCGTCCACCTCTGGGTTCAGGTTCATGCCACTCTCCCTTATAGCCTTTGTAGCTGCAGCTGTGCTCTGTAAAACAGATCAAACGGTAAAGGGAATTAGGAAATAATCATTCCCATATGCCAGAACTCTGTCAATAGTTGGCAATCCATCTCCATGGAACATGGAAACATTTACTTCTGTTACCAGTAAGATCAGGAAGTTACATTGGTGCAGAGAGCTTTGATCAAACCGAATGGGAAACTATGGCCGCTCGTATCGGGGTAGGGGGGCACACAGGGGGAGAGGGGAAGGCAAGCAACAACAAAAGAAAACTGTTTTGCTTCTTTGAAACTATTTGAATGGTTTGAGGCAAGGCAGAGTGAAACCGCAATAAATTCCCAAGGCAGAGCCTGACTGTGGCGAAGGAGATGAAAGATTCTGAGCATTTAAAAATTCCAGCTGAATGCTTCCCACTAGAAATCACCCAGTGCCAATTTAGAAATGTTAACGAACTTAACCACTTCAGCACTACAACCTGACCACAGGACAGCCGGGCAGTAGCAGAGAAATAGTGTCTGTGCCCAGCTCTGTGTTTATTTTACAGCTTATTACTGAGGATTAACTTCTCAAAAGTCCCCTGCACTGGCTGACACTGATTTGCTTGAAAGGTGGGTGGCAGGGCACAGGTTGTACCTGTACAGAGCTTTGGGGTTAAAGCAGAGTTTGTCCAGGAGCCCCCTGTGCACTCTGCCAGATCACTTCATTCTTGACATTGACAGTGACAAGCCTGAGTGAGTTTGAATTCTCATGGCACTTGTGTGGCATTTCCTACCAGGCACGATGCTATTTCTGATGCTCTTTGCCATCATTAACTTTAGCTCCAGGCTGCTGCAGTATTTATGTAGTTCACACAGTATTTATGAAGCTCAGCTTTTGTCAACTGAGGCAAAACTAAAGCTCTGCAGATTTGTTCAGGTCCCTGACGAAATAAATGCTCTGCTGGTGTTCTGTCAGAGACAACTGCTGTCCTCTGAAACTACAAGGGCAGAGCAAATGCAACCAAAATGATCTCAGCATGTTAGGAATGTAAATGGGTTATTCTATGGACAGTGTTTGCTCTGTAGGAAAGAAGCACTCAGTAAAAATGGTGTTGTTTAACATAGAAATTGGAGGACATAGAAGAAGGGGAAAATATTGAGAGGAAGGGGAAAACATTGCAATATATCCCCCATCCTCTGGCAGCCTGTGAGAAAAATAACCATACTTAAAAAACCAGTCTTGTTTCATTTTATAACTCTTGGGTAAACAGATTTTGGCCCTGCAAGTCCTTTTCTATGATTATTTTATTTCTCAGACTCTTCAGGCAATTTTATTTGCTTCGCAATGTCATGAAGTACTGACTATATGCTGTAAATAATGACATCAATAATCGTGTCTGTAGTGGTTTAAAAGAGTTCAATCTATCCACAGAACAGTTATGGTATAAAACAACTCCATTGAGAGAAACAGTTCCAGCTCTAGTTCAAGAGACAAGTGGTCCTTTGGCTTAGAAAGCAAACGTAGGCAATGTTATAGAGAGGATATTTAATTTCTCACATGCCAATTTCTCAGCCTGAGCTCCTGCTTGGACACAGGCTGAGTCATGGAGTGACTTCCCTGGCCCTCTCAGCACCAGCACTCCGCAGGACCTCGGCGCACTCGCTGATGAGGAGCCTCCATTCTTCAGAGCTTTACACACGCTGGATGCACTTTAAGAAACACTTAGGCATCGAGTGCCTTATACTGACCTCCTCTGAGACTTTGCTGACTTAATTAATTGGGGAAAGCCTTTGCAAAATAAATAAGAGATAAGCCTTGGCAAACCTCCAGACCTGGTGCAGGATGAACAGCTAACCTTGTGCTCACTCCTGCTCCCATCTGCCTGGCTCTATCTATGCTGCAGGGATCACAAGGGCTTGAGCCCAAGGTGAGATTTGGATTTGCTGCCTCGTTTAGGGGCAAGGCTCCTGCAGAAAATTAAGGGAACTTGTCTCTCACAGAGTGTAAGTCAAAGCATCTAATTAAGGTTCTGACCTGCAAGCGCTGCCAGGGGAGGAGCTCACCAACCCCAGCAGTGACAGCACTTAGCACAGGCCAGCTCAGTCCCACCAGGGAGGCTCCATCAGCAGCTGCTCCCATGAGCTCTCTGGTGTGTCACCAGCCCTGATGATAAGTAAGCAAGTTTTAGAGGTGTTTGGTGTCACCAGCACAAATTCCAGTTACGCATCTGGTTCTGTGTGTGGCCATGTCTTCACAAGGAACTGAAATAAATACACAAGGCAGATGCAGCCATGTGTGTAGTTCAGGTGAGTGTGTGTGTGCTCAAGACTGATGGGTGCCATAAATACATGTGAAATGGGGAGAGCTGGCAGGGCACAATGAATCCAGACACCCAGTCTGACATGTTTAGTGTCACTGCAGATCCAACTGACAGGAAAGCAGTCCCCAAAGCAAAGTCCTCATGCTGTGGCACTCAGTGGATACAACCCTGTGAGCAATCACAGCATGTAACTCTCCTCTGACCCTGCACTGCTGCAGGTGAGCTGCAGGGCTGGGGAGTTGCTCACCCCATGCTGTCAGCAGCAAAAGACTTCTGTTCTGTGTCAGTGTGAAGTGACACACAGTGCAGCCAGTGCTCCAGCCCTGCCACATTTGACTGATTTTGTCTGAATGTTCCTTTGCTCAGCATCACCCTGTTTGTTCCCATGGCAATTATCTCCCCTCGCAAAGCCTTGGGTAAGGTGTCCTTACCTCTGGAAAATTGATCATGTTCACTACAATGAGCTGTGGTGACTTCTGTGAGATCTGCCCCAGCTGGTTCAGAGGAAACTTCCCATCTTTTGTCATCACAGTGATGTGATCCAGGGCCCCTCAAAAGAACCAAGCACAGGGAGTTTCAGTATGATACAGCAGTTTAGCAATGCTGAAGCAAAATGCATCCACAGTGTCCCATTTCCCTTCTGCTATGCAAAATATAGAGGCTACACAGGAAAAAAACATGTTTATTCAGACTTCAGGTGCTGTTTGTGTTCAGGCATCCCCTGTGTATTTGCAAGCTAAATATTTCAAAGCTACTCTAAAGCACAAAAACATGAAAACAAAACTCGTTTGTTTTTGCTACTAGAATAGGAAAACTAAGCAGGATTGTTAAGAATTAAAAGGAAATCATTATTTTTTTTTAATTCTTAGTGCTTAAATAAAATCAAAATGTTGCTATAAAAATCAAGACAAATATTGTCTTTAACTTAGCAGTGCTCTCTTAAACTCCTCTTTTTTTCCCAGGTCCCCAGAGGGGTGTTGTACACTGCCTAATTTAAAGTATTCAGTTTCTCCCTAAGCCATTCTTAATCTGCTCTCTAGTTTCTGCTGCAAAATGTTAACAGGCCAAAAGGCACATGGGACAGGAGGTACTTTATCAGTGCAATTAAAAAAATACCTACGGTTAAAATAAATAGTTAAGAGACTTAACTACGTTTTCCAACTCCATTAAAGACAGGAGTGCCCCTGCCAGAGCTGGGGTGGTGAATGACTCTAGTTTGGTCATTGTTTAATGTTAAGTTTTATCCCTGAAACTTGATACAGTTACAAATGTGTAGGTTCAGAGTGCTATAGGAACTGCAGCTTAGTCAAATACATTCCGAGTTCTTCCTAGAACACAAAATTCACTAACTGAACAAGGCTTGTACAGGCCACTACCCACAAAGATGCACAGCAAAAAGAAGTTTGTATGTGCCAGACACCAGCCTGATGGCAATTCCAAAAGGCCAATTTAATGGCAATTGGATTTTTCCTGCCCTACTGCACCGTTAGCTGACAACCTGCTTCTCCATCACATCTGCAAACAGTTCAGTTAGACAATTCTGACATCTCCCACTTACCAAAGCTATTTCCAGGAAGCTATTAACAAAAATGGATTCTTCCTGGTCAAGCTCAGGGTGAAGAAAGCCTTTAGTAGGGGATGTCAAGGTTGAAGCAATTGGGTGCCCAGTGAGTAACTCCAGAGAGAGAAAATCAACTTTGAAAACATCTGAGTTCTCTGTTACTAGGATTTGTATCCTTATTCACAGGCTACAGAGCATCAGACAAGGAAGTTACCAACCTGGTGAGGTTCTGACACTGAGATTTCTGCTGAAATCTTCTTTCAGAGCTTCTATGACTGCCTGGAAGTCTTCATTGGTTTCCTCCAGATTGATAATATCCTCAACTAGGGCAGCACTGATGTTCACTTTGGCTTGGCTCTGCCCTTTACCTTTAGCTGCAGGTTACAAAAAAAAATTAATTTCTATTTCTGACAAGTTAGTTGTTACATTTGAAAGTAAAAAGATAATATCAAAGTCTCTGTCAGGTTCAGTATTGATATATATTGACATATATATTGATATATAAGTATTGATAAACTAAAGTATATTTTAATGAGTAAATGCCCAGCACCTGGGCATGTTGGCCTACATATATATATATATATTTATGTATAATATACAGAAGGGGGTTGCAAAACCAGGCAAGAAGCAGCTGTTTTTACATTTTTTGGTAGCCAGCTGTCTGCTCAGCAGCATCTGATGGACACACTGCCTGCAGCCATCCAGGAGCAGGGCAGAGCAGCCTGTGGGAGCCTGTGGCAGTGCCCTGGTCACCGTGAACGACGAATGACGCAGCTGGGACGGGAGAAGACGGAGGCATCTTAGTGCCAGAGCCATCACTCACAGCTCCTCTCTGACCCACCTGGAAAAGAGAAAGGCAGGTGGGTTACTTGGTGTGCTAAGAACAAATGGATTCAGGTCCTAGTGGTGCAAGGTGACAGCTCAGTGACGTGGGCAGCAGGTCTGGGTGCCTGCAGTGACCGGTGGGCAAATGGAAGGGGTGAAGGGGCTACTAGCCCATGCCCATGATATTGGTGTGGCCTTTGCACATCTGTCCAGCTGGGCACAGGCCTCTGTCACAAAACCCACAGCTGGTGAGCAGGAACAGCTCACTGCAGTATCAGCTGGGCAGAAACTTTAATATCTGTCATACAAGGTTTGACACCCCCTGAGCTCCCCCAGACTCAAAGGGTTTATTCCTTCTTTCGGGGTTCTGGGGCACTAGTGCTGCTGCATTCTGCTGCACTCAGAGCTGCAGGAACACAGACGGGACTCGGTCCGGGGGAGCCAAGAG